CGCCCCGCGGGGCCGGCAGCCGCCGCCGGGAATGAAGCGCTGCCCGCGGCGCGGGGGAACTTCCCCGGTGCCTCGTTATTCCCAGGGAGAAGGGGAGGCGCGGGACCGACCTGTCCGTCCCCACGCGCGGTGCTCCTCGTGCCTCCCCGCCACCGTGTTCCGCGGCGGGAACAAGGGCTCTCGTGCAGCGCCCAGGGAAGCAGAGCCCGCCGTGTGCGTGAGTTATCCCGCGGGCAGGTGTGAGCCACGCAGAGGTTTGCTTGGCTTTCCCTTTTTTTTTATCCTTTTCTGCTTTTGCTGTAGAAGAGTTTGGTACAATGAAAATAACGGCATTTCTCTTGTCACCTTGATTTTCCTATGCATGTTGGTGACACACCACATTTTTGTGAGCAGAGTTTTCACGTTTTTGTGCAGTGCCAGCTTGTATTTTTTCCCTTCTTTTCCCCCCAAAACGTTATTTCAAGTAACTATATAAATGTGAAGTGTCACTTGGATTTAAAGATATACCAATGCATGCCATGATTCAGAAAGCCTCCCTCTCCGTTGCAGGTTAAATCTACGTTTTCCCCCAGAAGCCGGCGGTCCTGCTGCTCTGTCACAACTGCCTGCATGTGCTGAGCTGCTTGTCTCCGGCCCCACTGCCGCGCGTGGCCCTGCTGCAGCGCTTCCCTGCCAGCATCTCCGGTGCAACAGATTGCTGAGAGTGGCACCACCGTAATTATGTGAGCTGGCTTTGCCTTGCTCCCGAAGCAAACATGATGAAAACGGAGTCTTCGGGAGAAAGATCCACTCTCCGGAGAAAAAAAAAGGAATGCCTACAGGACGGAGTTCCAGGCGCTGAAAAGCACCTTTGACAAGCCCAAGTCAGATGGAGACCAGAAATCGAAAGAGGAAGGAGAGGCCTCCCAGAGCAGGGGGAGGAAGTATGGCTCCAATGTCAATAGGATCAAGAACTTATTTATGCAGATGGGCATGGAGCCCACTGAAAGCGCTGGAGTTACCCCCAAAACAAGGGGGAAGGGTGGCCCTCCATCACCTCAAAGGCGTATTAGGCCCAAAGAATTTGTAGAAAAAGCAGATGGTTCCATTGTAAAACTGGAATCTTCCGTTTCAGAGAGGATTAGTAGGTTTGATACTATCCATGATGGTCCTTCTTACTCCAAGTTTACCGAAACTCGAAAGATGTTTGAGCGAAACGCTCATGAAACGGGACATTCCCATCGCTATTCCCCAAAGAAAGAGAAAGCGGTTTCCAATGAGCTTCCGGATGAGTGGTGCAGCTCTAAATCCCACAGAGGCAGCACTGATTCCCTGGACAGCCTTAGCCCAAGGACAGAGACTGTCTCTCCGACTGTGAGTCAGCTCAGTGCAGTGTTTGAAAACACCGACTCACACAATGTAATTGTTTTAGAGAAGTCGGAGAACAATGAAGAATACTCTGTAACGGGTCACTATCCGCTAAACCTGTCTCCTACCGTTGCTAATATCTCCTCCCCTGCTGCGAACCTGGAGGGGTTCAGTCCTTTGAAAGAGGCCAGCACGTGGTCGCCACCAGCCTCACAAAGTACGGGCTTGGTGTCTGCGGAGAACTCCCAGCAAAACAGCACATCTTCCACACCCAGGCAGAAGACATCCGCAGGCACTTTGTCGGGTTCCAAAACAGCTGAGGAAATCAAGAAGAAAGCAGAGGCTGATTCTGCTGAGAACTGTGTGGGGCGCCCGCAGGATCAGGCCAGCGTCCCTGACAGCGAGAGGGCTGTGGACAGTTGTGCTAGGAATAAGCCCAGAACGGACACAGAGGTCTTCTTGGGACAAAAGGAACAGTCAGAAAATGCAGAGGGTTTCTCTGATAGACCTGAAGCTGCAGAAGTATCAAGAAATTCAGTGTCAGGTGGTGATTTTGCAGCAGAGGCTGTTTCAGATGCTACCGAGTCGCACTACGATGAGACAAATGAGAAGGAAGGAAACGAAGACGGGAACAGTTTTCAGAGCTCCCATGTGTACATGCACTCTGACTACAACGTGTACAGGGTACGATCCAGGTATAATGCTGACTGGGGAGAGACAGGTACAGAACAGGATGATCAGGATGACAGTGATGAAAACAATTGTTATGAACCCGATATGGAATACTCTGAAATTAATGGATTGCCAGATGAGGATGAAATCCCAGCAAACAGAAAAATACAGTTTAGCCGTGCTCCAATTAAGGTAAGCTCCCTACACTCTCTCTCTGCTATTTGGTTTGTTGTTAAATGCAACTTTTTTGAAGCATGTTTGGATAGTTGGCTGTGAAAATACTGCAGAGCATCTTCAGATGCACATTTTTGTTACAGTGAGTGAGCATCATCTCAAGGGCTGCAAGGGGGATGAGGCCCTGCTG